CCTATGATATCTCCATAACCTGCGTTTAGGTCTGACATTAGGGTTGTCAAGTCCTTTTCTGAGCACTTCTCTATGATTGACTACACCCCGTTTAGCTGAATCCAAATAATTCTAATTAACCGGGTGCCATGGCTTAGCCTATCAGGCGTGGTAGCTCTGTACAACTTGCTTTTACTCCTACTAAATTTATTGTTCTATCTCCAGTCTGAATGTTTTCTCCATCATATATTGGTATTTGCTACGATACGACGAGCCAGTGCAGACAATGATATGACTTCCACATGAGATCATATAGATTAAACAATTACAACATGACAAATGTACAAGTTTAGGATTAGGTCTATTTTAGAGCAATATTAATACCATAATTCTACAGATGCATTTGCAGCTATGAAGTTCATAAAATTTCAACGTTTTTAACGAAAATGCCTAGGTTAACCGTTAAACCAACGAGTTACGTGTCATTTTGCGTTCAACTGACAGTATGAAAAATGGGTGTCATATAACCTCGGTCTCACATATCTTTAAATAACACCTGAATATATATTGGTTGCTTCGCTACCATTTATATAGATGGTCAGCTGCAATGATGTTGTACTTCTTCTACAGAACGATATCCAGAACTTATGAACATCTGTATATCCAGGCAACGATACTGTATATCTTTCCCTCGCTTATGCCAGTTACGTTCAGAAACCGCTGACCATTATCACGTGCCACATCATTCGTCGAGATCCCAATTTCAATTTGACCTATTTCGCGCCTACTATCAGCATAAAAGCCAAGTGTTCCCAAATTGACCAGTCGTATGCCCAATTAGCACTAATGACCCTAGGCCAAAAGACAAGTTCTTGTTAGTTCATTAATTGCGAACCCCACTGTATGCTTTGCGCAGTGTCCGAAAGTGGTAAACAATCTTCGCTATTGAGATTTCAAGTAGACATAGATTATTCACAAATATATGGGACCTCGTCGCACCATACAATCAACAAAGCGATTATATATTACGAAGCTAAAAATTGCTGTGAATGGTGGAAACTCTAAGTAATCAATTGGCAGGATTTCAGGAATAGCAAACAGCATAACTGTCTTTAGTGGGTTAGTAAAACTTTTACGTTAAATGGAATACATATACATAATAATCTAGTTAGCCAGTAACTGCATAAAAATTATAGTGAATAATGAGATGGTGGAGAAGATTTGTAGCCCAGGTGGATGATTTTGGTGGATTTTTGTTCTCTGAGCTGGATGGTTTGGTCGTGGAGCTTTCATCGTCCTTCTGAACGACATCATCAGCACAAACTTCAAATAGAAGAGAAGTGTTTGAAGTTTGTGCTGATGATGTCGTTCAGAAGGACGATGAAAGCTCCACGACCAAACCATCCAGCTCAGAGAACAAAACTCCACCAAAATATAGTGAATAATAATTTAAGAAGCCAATCACAACATTTACAACACTATCGAACCACTTCTTGGAACTAATCGGTTTATCTGGGGAGGAAGATAGATAAATAGGTGAGTAGATTGGTGTAATTCTGCAGACAAAACAGCATTGTACATATTGTTGTCGCTATTTGAGAAATTGAAATTGTAATATCAGTTACAGTATAGTAAGAAACCTAATTGGATTACGGAACAGTGATGAAATGGTATTTGACTAGTATTATTATTATTCACTATAATCTAGGCTGTGGCAAATGCGAGTATGCTGCGCTGAATAATGCTTATGGTGATGAGTAAGCAGGTTCAATATGTATACTCATGTAATTAGCTAAGCAATGTATATCTTCTTAGCCCCTTAAAAAGATTTTGAACAACACAAAACATGCATACAAGCAGCTTTCGGTAACTTACCGAGAGTATCATTATTCGAACCCAGCACAATTGCACTCCAGACATGTGATGAATCACAGTCCTTTATGCATGATAAAAACAAAAATGTTATGAGGGTCGAGACAATAACTAAAGAGATATTGAAGATAATCTTCCTAAATATGTAATTTAACCAACAGGCATACATAAATTTGCGACACACTATATTTTCATAGCAATACGTAATGTAATCCTAGCACCTATATTAGGTGTTACACAATCTGGTGTTAGAATATCAAACAATTTAAAGTCAAAGTTGTCACTCACTGACTATGTTTGCTCGAAGTTAGAGTTTGTCTGGTGTTTTTGGATAATGTTGTAGTTGGTTTCTACCATATGTTGATTGTCAGAAATTCTCTAAGAATGTTGTGGAATTATGATCTAATTTTACATTAGTACATATATTTTTGTTAATAAATCTTCTCAGTAATTATATGATCGGCTTCAAAGATTGTGTGGTTGGCAGCCAATTGGAATTTCTGGTGATCGCACCTCATCTTATCTGAGTATGTAGAGGATAACTTGTTATTGCAGATCTATCGAGCGTTGATCAGACGCATATTAATCAAGTAGCCAACTAAATTAAAGTAGGTGAGTGTGTAGAATTATGATCTTCCATGATATTAGTACTGCTCTAATAGTAGACCAAATCCTAAAATTGTAGATTTGTCATGATATAACTGCCTATAAGAACTTACGTGGAAGTCACATCATCGTCTACATCAACTCACTGTATCGTGACAATTACCGATACATGGTTGAGAGCAAGCTTAGGCTAGAGAAAGAACAATGTATAATCAATTTGAATAAAAGTTATAAGGTAACATTCCGTAGGGACCACACCTGCATGGCCGAGCCATGCCATCCGATCAACTCCCATTAATTCAACACATTGTTCCCGCCTTTTCCATCGTCAGGTATTTCTCCGCGTCAAATATTGAATATTTATTTTCCGAGTAGTCTCGTGTTCAGCTTTGAGGATTGTGTGGTTATGGTCCAATGCCACTACAAGTGTATCTCCAGTGAAGTAGCTCTTCAACCCTCAGAAGCGTGAGGTAGGTTTAAAGCATGAGATCGGTTGCTGTTTGATGGCCAGTTTTGTTGAGTATAAAGACTGAAGAGGATATATCAATTGAGCAATTAAATTTGCTTAAAGTGTTTACCCAGCAGGAGGGAGTGGTAATATTGTCCAATTAAAGTTGTACGGAAGAAGTGAGTTTGTATTTCTTATGTGGTTTTAAATGACAAGATCTAGGTGCCTCAGGAGAGATGCCGCAAGAGGCTGTATCCAAAAAATCGTGTACAGGATGACCGCGCAGTGCTAGGACATCTCCAGTGTAGTCCTGAAAGTCAAGCTCGTGGATTGGGTTACAACTGTATGGATTGTTGTTAGCTTGAGGAGGATCTACTGTTCATAGCTGGCAGTGATTTTATCCGTTTTCATACTAAGGAGCCACTTTCATTTAGTGGGTTGGTATTGTGGAATGTGGAAAATTTCTTTCCTGTAGTGATTACGGTTGTGATCTTGGGGATAAGAGATAGAGTGTGGGTTGAGGGATCTGTTATCACCATGTTCATTAATAGTCCTAGACTTAAGTGGATGAGCAGTGTAACCAGAACATTTATAACTACTACCAGTCTGCGTTTTCAAAAGTTGATTGAACTTGTGCCTATCACCAGTTTGACTACTTAGAGATTTTGATGGTAGGTCACTTGATATCATAGGAGAGATCCATGGAGCAGTTAGGTTGAGCCTTGTCTGTTCATTATCTAATGTCGTGGATTTCTTCAATCCGCCCTTCTTGGGAGGAGCTGGAGAATATCATGGTGTCTTAGTAGTGTTCTGTGGGATGAATTCAATTATATTCAGACTATCTTTTGTCGGCTGTGTTGTCACATGGCTCATATTCAAATATGTTACTGTGCTAACAGTCTGGACTAGAATCGTCAACGTCGTTACGTTATATGGTATCAGTCAGAATATGTATCATATTTAGACATTTCTAGTTAGTAAACTCATCTAGTTCTAGATATTTGATATTTTTCATAGTATTAGAATTTGTCTCTGGCTGGTTATTTTCTGTAACATGACCATGCCATCCTAATGCTTCACGTTCTCCTACACGACGTCAACAAGGCGTTAGGTCTGAAGTGACTTTCATGCTGTTGGATGCAATCAATTAGTTAATAACTTCATTAGAACTGACAAGCTATTTGGCATCGTCACAATAGCTAAATTTAAACAGGATGGGACATGTCGATTTGTCTGATCTTTTTCTAAGGCGAGTGACCTGACAGTTTACGTTCAGCAAACCTTATGTTCGACAGTAAATATCCCTTAGCTTTGGGAGGGGGCGTAGCTGTAAATAAATTCCCGAAATTGATAGCTCTGTAAGTCTTTGACATTTGATGCTGATCGCATTAGTTTTAGTTGATTCACCTAGCTGAAGGCGTTTGGTCACGCATCCGTACCATATCACGAGTGTGGACGTTATGCTTCGCATCTCCTACAACCGCTAGCCAGCTTAGACTTGTCACTTTTCGACATATCGATATCCTTTAAAATATATCTTCGAACCTATTCGCTTCTGACTTTTGATTTGACTGGTTTGGCACGTTTTGATTACGGAAGCTGTTACTGGTTAAGGTGTTTTCAAACTCAAAATACTTGTGGCATCTTTAAGGGTTTGGTCACGAAGACTGCGTAGACCATAATTCTACAACTGTACGTAACCACATTGTTGGAAGATGTTACTTTTTTCATCACTTCTTCGGCAGCAAAGTCTGCGGCACATTCTGATTTAGTGAGTGGTGCTAAATGGTTACAATTATTATTAATTCAGAAAGCTTTGTAACTGCCCTGTGTCGCGACAATAGAGGTTAGCATTTTGGGGTGTCAAGTAGAGCACTAGACGACTTGGTTTATGAAGCAATAGAAATAATTAAAAAAGACATGAACATGAGATAAAATGAAACTAGGAAACGATGCGTTGCCTGTCACTGATCTCATCAGCGTGTAGGTAATAAAAATGATTTATTGAGGCCTGCTATTGTGCTAAATTCCTAAATTTGTTTACTCAGTATGTGTACAAAATAGGATCTCGGAGATCATTAGTTTACGGAAATTCGTTACTCCTGTCAAGGTCAAGGTTGAGCGCTTACAATCTAGTTTCGTTTTCACTAGTAACTGAAGATGGGTTCGTTGTTCCGGAGCGAAGAAATGCAACTGTCTCAGATGTTTCTGCACACAGACATAGCCTACATGTGCATATCAGAGTTAGGGGAGTTGGGACTGGTGCAATTTCGAGATGTAACTAGTGGTCTCTTTGTGTTATAGTAATAGACCGTCCCAGGTACCAACGCCTTCCAGAGAAAATTTGTAAATGAAGTTCGAAGATGTGATGAAATGGAGCGAAAACTAAGTAATTTTTTCGCTAAATCCGTGCATTAACTTAGGATTCCTGGAGAAGGAGATCGAAAAAGATAAATTTCCTATATTGGACACTGGCGAAAATCCAGAAGCTCCGGCCCCACGTGAAATTATCGACTTAGAAAGTATTTTTGAGAAATTAGAGAACGAGCTAAAAGAAGTGAACACAAGCGCAGAAAAACTAAAGAAGACGTACCTGGAATTGTCTGAACTGAAGCAGATTTTGCGCAAAACGCAGACATTTTTTGACGAAGTAAGTTTTTATTTTTTCGTACGAGTTAATGTGTCGCCTTCAAACTGATTTACAACGTACATTCGATGAGTCAGATGTTGCGTTATAGTTCGGTGATGTGTTTTAGTAAATACGTTAAGTTATGGTCTATCAGGCTCGATGAACATAAAATATTATGGTTAACATAAGTTATGGTGGTATAGTCCATTCATATTCATACGACTAAGAATAATTTCAAGTTTTATCTGAACATGGTATTGTCAGACTAACCTCTGTTTCTTCCCGGCCTGGGGATTTGATGAGTTTACGCGTAATACTCATATCATTTGCTAGTCCTACTTCATTGTGGGTAACAGATTGAACTAACCAACTGGTTATTCATCACCTATCGATTAACCATAAGCTTTTTTCGGCATTTATAATCATAAGTTTAGTTACTGGGGTAGGCCTGTCCTACTTCCGTTGATCTAAGTGTTAGTTCTTGTTAGCGGGACATAGACTAGATTAAAGCATGCTCAATACATGATTGTTTTGGTGCACGCTGATTGGCTGATTCTTATCCAATCAGCACTAGTCGATAGTCGGAGAATATTCTGGAATCTTCTTATGTAAAAAACTATAAATATACCGACGTTTTCCCCTATTGTGCTTCCTACTGGCTTCTGATTTGCTATTTGGAATATAATCTTTTTCCTGTTCAACCGTGTTCTGATTTGGGGACTTGTCGAGTGAATCGGTGTCCGAGAATACTAAGCAATAGGAGTAGCTGGGTCATTAACCGTAAGAAGAAAACAGAGTTATAACAGTTCTCATGCATTTGTCCACACAGTGCAGATATCTGAAAATTAGGAATGTTTAGATTTTCTTTTGATCCGTAACTCATTCATCACAGTTTTTTGAAGTGTATTGTGGGGAGTTCTCTATGACTTCACAAGTTGCTTCCCTAACTTATTGTGCTAGTTTTGGAATGGTTCACCTTTCCGTTTTCCATTCGTTATTGGTGACAAACTATGGTAATCGGTTTTATCAGCTTTATTTCCGATTAGCTAATAAGATAGTCTATTTAGCACATTAAATCAGCTTACAAACAGCGACTTATAATGGTAATGGTAAATCAGTTTACAAGGGAAGCTGAATGTTCATTTTGCCAAAGTAGAAAAATGTAACGAGTGGTGAAAGTACTAGAATTTCACACGCTGGCTGCAGAATCCAACTGCATTTCAGTTGTCTAAGTAATCTCTGGCAATCTATAGTACACATTGTTGTGGCTTATTTCTTTTCATTCAGTTAACTAAAATTTATTAAGTCAGAAAGCCTGACTGCTCAATGAAGACTTGATTGGTATACTTCAAGTTACACAGTTGTCGATAGCTGTTATCGGGATATAGATTGGATTAAAGCATATACTGTATAGTACTGTGATGGGGCACTCTGGTTGGTTTTTTCCTAACTAACCAATGCTAGCGGAGACTCGGAGAAGACTCTAGAACCTTATGTAAAAATCTTAAATATACTGACGCTTTTCTTGCCGTGATTCCTACTTCCATCCAACTTTTTTATTTGGAGTTTAATTACGTTCCTGTTCAACCATGCTCGGATTTGGGGACTTGTCAAGTAGTGTCTGAGAATATTTAGCAATAAGAGTGGCTGGGTCGAAATAAGAGAAATTATGACGGTAGTTATGCAGGTTTTGGGTCGAACTCTGTATAGGACGGTAACGTTGAACTAGTGTTCTTACGCTATACCTGCCATGATGACAATCTAGCGATTGCTCGTTTATAACTGAAGAAAGTAAGCAATATCTGTTCAAGGTTGTAATGGTTAAGAATATGTCAGGCCTGAGTTTAGCACAGACTACCAATTATGGTTTCAAACTAAAACCGTGTGGTATCCTTAATTGTCACACAGTTGATCGCCTTTGCGGCGTTGTTGAGCGTGACTAAATTGTTACGGTTACCATTCACACTCAGGCGTAGGCTACCTTAGACATCGGCAAGTTGTCCGTTGCTCTTTTCCTTGTATTGCATGTGGTTATACCTAATTGCCTCAGCCGTTGTCTGGTCCTTTTGTCGGTTTGTCCGACTTCGGTGTTGTACTGCTGTGAATAAATTAGTGCCAAGATTTACCGATTGAACGTCTGACCATACCTTCCAATGATTTGCCCCTTCGTCGACTGAATCGCGAACAGGCTCTGCACGATCCTGCAATGTCAGAAGAAAATGTTGGACTCCTTGGCGGTGAAGCAATGGGTGCTGCTGGCACTGCTGGTGGATTACGACTGGGGTAAGTTACAGCTTTTATATTCGCGTTATGTATATTTTGCTTACTAATCTGTTTGTGATTTTTAGGCCAACGTAGAATCTCATCTAGACTTAAACCCAATGAATGATCCCAATCATAATTATTCGGAAAGGGATGTTACAGTTCATACTAACAGTAACAAACGTCATGTAGAGTGAGTATACAAATCCCGGAAATCACCTATCAACTCTGGGAACCTATTGAATGTAACTCCCTACTAATAATCACAAATGCTTTGTTGATTTATGGTTTGTTTCCTATATCTCATCTAATCAATTTCAATTAACAATCTTATCTATCAACTTACACCCCGTACGTTAATTTTTGTGTCCGACCTTAGAAATACCAATTCAGTAGTTTAAACACAAACACTGTTGTGAAAACAAGTATGGTTATATGCTTGGTCAATTTTGTGGACCGATACGTTAGTGCACCACTGGAGCTGTATGTTTAGATTTTTGCAAACTGAACTAGTGTTCGTTATATTGAGTATATGCAAACAGAAACTAGACCATAAACTAAACTACAGTGGTAATACAAAACATTCCTAGAAATTATCCACTGTGTATCCCTAGGCCCGAAAACTCGATTGTCAGCCCTAAGTTCACATGTAACCATTGGAACTAATCGCCGATTTATCCTATGGAGAGTAAGTATTCTTATATACATGTTATCTACTTCAAAGCTGATATAACTAAAATATGTGTATTCTTTGCACCTTGGTTTTAAGGGTGGTGAGATCAGTCAATCTGGAAAAAATAAATACCACTAAAGACTACCTATTTTGTAGTTCGAATTGTCACTATCCACCAAACGGATTGCCGTCTAAAATATCCCGAAATTCTCTCATATTATCTCCAAATTCATTTTTCAAAATATTGAAACAGCAAAAGCTAGGGTGTATGTACTCATTTTTTGAGCATACTTTGGAAACCATTGGTCTTAAAAGTTTTATGATCCTTAAATCAAATTGGTTTGAATCATATCCTCTATTTTTTAATTAGTTACTAAGCAATATTATAGTAATTTGGTTTTCTAATTGCCCTATTGATTTATTTTTGTTGAAATTTTAGCCATTCATTACCTCATGCACTCCCTAGTACTCACGAACTAATCATGTATTCCTCGCTCGTTTTTCGAAATATATGCAAATTATTCAAACCTTCCTTACGATTGTTACGCTACCCCCATCTTACTCCATTTTACATTTCCTAGAATAGTTCTATAGCGATTACATGGGAATAAACCCATTAGTAACCTGTCACATCTCGAGTTTTCAGTCACTGAGTCTGATTTCACAGCACCCTGTCCCCTTCCTTCCCAGTTATTACATTTGGTGAATTCGAGTGAAATTAAAAGTAATAAAATATAACGAAATTATATGTAAGGAAGAACTAAATGGTCTCACTAACTACGAATTCGAAAGACGTTGTTAAGGATTATTTCAGCAGTGGGTCAAAATTTCATGGAAATCGTCTGAGGTATCACATTTGTTTAGATGAAGCCTTGGGAATGATTAAAAATCATGATAGCAAATGGGTCTGTTAGTTCTTGTTCAGAAATTCCACCTTTTGCATTTCTAGTTTTTATATTCACATAACCATGTTTCGCACAGTAGCTTTCAAACAAATCACGATTATAACATACAAATAACAAATCAACTTTTTCAAAATTAGGTTTCTTGCTGGGATTATCCTTCGTGAACGGTTACCAGCTTTTGAGCGTATGCTGTGGCGGGTGTGTCGAGGAAATGTTTTCCTTAAGCAAGCAGAAGTTGATGACCCATTAGAAGATCTAACAACGGTGAGTAAAGCAATACGTAGTTATGTTGATGGGTTTTCTAATAAAAATTTAGTGATTAATTTCTGCCATAAGAGTTAGGAAAGCATATGTCGTAAACCTTTACATACTACCATCACAACATTGTCCAAGTATTAATATTCATGTTTCAGTAACAAAGTTGTTAGCTTATCGCACATAAGTGGATATTTTTTATGAGCAGTGCATGACCCGTTGCTTTCTGCGATGTGTTTCATTTCTTGAGTTTTGTGCTATCCATAGATATGAGAACCGGAAATGTTGCATATATTTAACGATTTATGGACCACGTTAAGTGAAAAATTTTCCCATCCATTTTTGGTTTTCTGACTCGATCTGCATTAAGGTCTTTTCTCAGGCTACTGTAGCTCACAGTCATAAATTAGTACTTTGTTCTTTGTGTCTAAATTATTATTATTTTAACACATAGATATTGGTACAAGAAGGCATCAAATACATATGCGCCACACAAATCGTATTCGATGTGTGTGAGGGCTGTGATACTGCCCGGGTGCCCAAACCGAAGCAGATGGTTTTCTTAGGAGGTCACTCCCCGAGCCTTTGACCTAAAGGTCTGATCCACAAGGCAGTGGAGCATCGTAGGGAGATGCAGTCCCATGGTAGCCGGTGACCAGCGATTGGTTCATACGCCATTTGTTCCCGCAGGATACTGGAGCCCATGTGTACCATCAGTTTGGGATCCGGTTAAAGCGCCGGACATTCGCTTTTCGTCCTCTCATTTTTGTGTCTAAATACTTTTTAGGGATAGATTTCTGGCAACAGTGATAACTGCTGTACGTTTGTGCATATATATGAGTCTAAATTTGACTCTCATCTTGTCAATTTCCTCTCAGTGTGCTAATGTGAATAGAAATCATTTCGATCTTGGCACCTTTGTCCATATCTTACAGTTATATGTCTCATTAGATGGCACGAATTAAGCATCAACATTACTAATTTTGTAGCTGGTTCAGAAAGTTTTGTGAACTTCATGAAGTCACTAATAAGAATAGTTTATTGGATTTTAACCTATAGTTTATTACATATCATTTTTGTCTAGTATGCGAAAGCGATCTCAGATGCCTGTGATTTTCGATTTCTAATTGTTACTTTGTGGGTAAGGCGTTGCAACTTTTTACAGTGCACGAGCGTTCAGTTCATATTTCTAGCACAAATCATCTGTAGCCTTTTCAGGAGAAACAATAAGAATCTTAGAAATTCTAAATGCAAGTACATATTAAGTTTTTTAAACAAATTTCATATAAATTGGAGCGTAGATGAACTTATACATCTGAAATTTCTTATTCCGTTCTTATTATTATCTCTATCAAAAATAAAAGAGATTGTGTTATGAATCGAAAGTTTTATGTGGTTTGATTAGGCGAAATTTCGCGTTATTTAAGTCAGTGAATAGGATTCTAATCGATATATGAACGCAATCATACAATGTAGCCGAGTCATGGCTGCTCACGAGACCGTATTATTGACTTGAATATTTGGATAATTAAACACCGTCAGTCATATGAGCAGTTTTTCATATAATAAAGTAGCATGTTCATGTACACAAAAGAAACATGAAAAAATGTTGAAGGAAATTAGCTTTTAGGTCACTTATTTTCCAATCGATTAGTATTTGACTGTTAGGCCTAATCGGCGAGACTATAGTTTATGGACAGACCAATCAGATATAAGATAACGAGTCACGAATTTCGGCGCTAAATTCATCCATACATTTGGCTAGATAGAGTTTTAGCATTATAACTGATGTCAGTTCGTGATGAAAATCCTAAATCTAATTATTAACCTTAATCAATTGTAAATGAGAATTTTAACTACTTTATAACCCTCGCTTAGTCCTAATAAGTAGATATCCATTCTCAAGGTCACTTCAACATCACTCAAAGGTCGTCCATAGATTATAGTCCCGCCGTTTCAAGAATAAATTCATTGAAAGATGACCTCTTTGCTGAACTAGGCTTGTTTCTATGTTCTAGTAAGTTCTTAGCGTGCTAAACCTATCCTTAGACATTATGTTCAGGTGTGATTTTGCTTGTGTTTGTCTTTTGTAGGGTATGCCAGTCCACAAATCCGTATTCTTGGTATTCTTTCAGGGTGATCAGCTTCGAACTCGTGTTAAAAAGATATGCGACGGGTGAGTTTTAGGTCTTACTAACGTCTATACAATAACTTTAGCCGCTTCTAGTCTAAATATTAATATTATTACTTCTTCATTAGTATTTGTACCGGTTCAAGAAAGCTGATTATTTGCACTTGTGTGTTGCAGTGACCACAAATATTAGGAGATAATGACACGGAAACGATATTAAGTCTAAGTTGTAGATATTTGAGTTCTACAAATTATGTAAATCACTGTTTGCGAATTTTTTATGTGGTCTTTCTGTTCCCTTCAGATACTACGGTTGAATTACTAATATGAGTTGGCGAATATATTTCAGCATTCGTCTTCCCTATAAACAATGGAAATTAGGTTCACAAAGTATTTCGTCCTCTCAGCGTCGCATGTATATATCGCAGTTGCCCCTGTTACTATACAAGAGACTAATGTGGAAGAACCTGTCACATGTTCAGAAGAATAGGCAATTTTTCGGCAAAAATCGTCCTTTTAAGTGATTTGAAAGTTTTTAGTCTTTTGTTTTATGTATAAAACCAAGTTAGCTTAGCGTTCAAATATCATCTTAGCGAAATAAGTTAAGCTGACGTATTGTATGCCTTTTTACGAGATTTCATTGTTTTAAACAATCTAGGGATTCCGATTGCTAATTGCTTTCAAGCTTAAACCAATAATGGTTTATTTTTTTACTATAATACCAAATTTCGTTCCCAAATCTCAGTATTTTCGATTCATTCTACAAAGGAGTTGTTTGTTGATCATCTAATACAATTTTTATTGTAAGGGCTTGCTGACAAAATAGAATGTATAAATGAACAGTTATTTTTTACAGATAATTTTCATTAAGGACTGACAGCTAAAAGTCATTAAAACCTAGGTCTGACAATAAGGCCTCAGGAATTTAGGTTCTTGATCCGTACTGATAAATTCTAAGGGAGTAATTGTATATATTTGAGAAAATAATTGGCCGATTTGTTTGAAAACGAATTCTCGCTGTGTTCAGGTGCACACTTCATGTTTTTGAATTATTTAGTTGACTAGATAATTTATTACTGTAATCTGATTAGTTAAAATCCATGTAGTGTTAAGTACTTCTAATTAGATGCTGACACTAATAGTTCTTACATTCGAAAGTCATCCCATTCAAAAAATTATATTAGCCGGTTCAATTTCCGTGAAACACCAAATCTGCTTAATCAATGAAAAAGGCAAACCAGTGATGATTGTCCTTCAACTAATAAACAAGATATGCATATGTCAATACTCGTCAGTATTCAATAGTGATATGAAATGTAAGAATACTTTTATTATTACCAATCGCATGTAGATGGAACTAAATGTCTAGTCATATAAAATGATTTAATTAGACTTGTAAATTGGGTCGTAAGTTGCCCTGGAGAGGTACTTGTTTCGTTATCTTTGTCGTCCTTGCCACAGAACTCTTTCTAGTTGATCAATTTTACGTGTTTCTCTTTTCGATGAATTGGTGTAAAACCCATATCCATGTTCACTTGATAGTTGTGATAATTGTAATTCCATACATCTCCATTTCTTATTATCCATATTCGGTCTCAAAGAGGGAAAGGCAGTTTAACAGATCATATGATACACTGAAAGTTTCTGTAGCATTAATAACGTTGGACATATTGACAGATGCAGTGACTTCTGTTATGGGTAGATGTAGATGATGGTTCAATAACTGACACGCTGCAAGTATCAGTGCTTCTTCTAAACAAGAAATGGAGTTTGATGTTCGGTCGTAGTTTTGTCACTGCAGTTTGTAAAGTATTTTTAAACTCGAGATTGTATCTAGTCCATAAAGTGTATAAGGCACACTGAAAAGGGGAATGCTTCTTGCCACTTTGTGGGATCCGGTGCATCGACTTCCAAAAAGTTGGTATTTAATTGTCCAATAGATTGGTTAGCTGTCAGAAATGCATTTAACCATTCATGTTGTTTTAGTAATGATTGGTAGCAGATAACAATAAATCGATGCGTTCGTGGCTTCTATCAGTGATAAGTTCAAAAAGTATAAGACAGTTAAAAAGTATTCTGTTCACTTGTTTACGTTTTTCGTGTACATCAAACGGAAGAACAGCTAAATAACCTCCAATCTCAGCCTCTACAGTTTTATGTAAAATTGAAGATAATTCATTGAGTAACATATCCTTTTAATGACGTTATAGTCTAGGTGTACTCATCATGAAAGGTTATACGAGTTCGGATAAACTTCCGTTATTGTTGCAGCTGCTGGGAGTAAGTCATCTATAACCATCCTGGGCACATTTCTTTCATTAGTTGACTCCTCGAGAACTCAAACCGATGTGCACATATACCAGTTTCTACGCTGCATTTGACTGACTGAATATTAAGGCAGAAATTATTCAACAGATGAACACGAAAGATTTATGCTGAGTGGCACGTTTTGATATTAAAACAGACTCTCGTCGTTGATTTTGTACGTTTCATCAAAACTAGCTAACTACATCCAGGTCACGAGTAATTAAATAATTTGGTCGGAAATTGAGAAGAAAAAATCGTCGAAAATCATTATCTTTATCCAAGTGGTGTTCTCAACATCCGCCAAGGCAAGTGGTGTGACTTCGAAGTGTTTAATAACTCTTCTCATATCATTCATGCAAATATACACAATACGTATCTAGAGGACTAGCCTGCTGGAACACTTCTAACCTCACTTTGTAGCCGCTCGGTGTAAATAGTCGTTCCCAATCTGACGGGTGTGCCGGGTTGAATACATTGTGTGCTTACTTAATTACGCGTGTTACTCGTGGAGGAGCGTAGGCCGCCCATCAGCACTCTCCATCCAACCCTATCCTGAGCAATACTTTCCAGCTCTTTCCAGTTGTTATTCATCCTTTTCATATCTGCTTCTATTTTCCGACGTAATCTATTCTTTGGCCTTCCTCTTTTCCGCTTCCCTTCAGGATTCCAAGTTAGCGCTTGTCTCATGATGCAGTTTGATGATTTCCGCAATCTATGTCTTATCCACTTCCAACGCCTTTACCAAATTTCCCCTTCAGTTGGGAACTGGTTTGTTTTCTCCCAAAGTAGGCTGTTGCTAATGGTATCCGGTCAACGAACGAAGAATATCATGTGTAGAAAATTGTTTATAAATGCTTGTACATTTTTGATGATGGTAGTAGTAATCCTCCAAGTTTCAGCTCCCTAGAGTAGAACTGTCTCGACTTTCGCTTGAAGAATCTGACTTTGATATTGGTTGACAATTGTTTTGAGTTCCATACGTTCTTCAACTGTAGGAATGCTGTCCTTGCTTTGCCAATCCTCTCCTTTATGTCTGCATCCGATCCTCCTGGTTCATCGGTAATGCTGTCCAGGTACGTGAAAGTTTCCGCTTCTTCCAGAGCTTCTCCATCAAGTGTGACTGGTTTGGTGTTCTCCTTGTTGTATTTGAGTATCTTGGTTTTTCCTCTGTGTATGTTGAGGCCTACTGATGCAGAGGCCTCTGCTACAGTGGTTGTCTTGGCCTGAATTTGTTCGTATGTATGAGATAGAAGGGCTAGGTGATCTACGAAGTCCAAATCGTCCAATTGGTTCTGAGCTGTACATTGTATTCTGTGTTTTCCCTCAGATATTGAGATCTTTATAATCCAGTCAACCACTAGAAGAAAGAGGAAGGGAGAGAGTAGACAGCCCTGTCTGAATCCGGTCCTTAATTGGAATGCATCTGTCAACTGTCCTCCATGCATGACTTTGCACTGTAGTCCGTCCTATGAGTTCTGGATGATGTTGACAATCTTTTTGGGAACTCCATAGTGTTGAGGAAGTTTACATAGTGTTCTCCTATTTACACTGTCAAACGCCTTCTCATAGTCAATGAATTTGATGTATAGTGACGAGTTACACTCAACTGATTGTTCGACAATTGTTTGCTACCATCCCAGAAATAAGCAGAGGCTAGACACTTTTAAATACCGCGTTAGTCAGCTGTGGGATCCATGCATAGAAAATTGTATTCATGATTGTAATCCAGATTCCCACTAACGATTAGCCAGTATGCTTCTGGGAATTCGGCATAAATGACGGTCGGACATTCATTTTATTAAAACCCTTCAGGAAAACGTCTTATTAAATTGCTCAATTCACTTTTTTTGAATATCATATCCGTTTATCCTTGCTGCACTACGAACTCTTTGCCAACACACACATTACATGTATGGTTTCTGATTCTGATGAAAGTGGGAACCATGAATCACATATATTTTCTTGTTAGAAATCTCTGTTATCGTTTTCCAACCCTTTCATCGATGGGAGCGTTATCAGTAACAGGATGGTCAGGGCCACATTTCTGTGTCAGCGACCAAGTTTGAAACGATTTCACTTGTGCTTGTTTGATTATTATAGCTCATGATCAAAAAAGGTAATTTTCGCACAAGTTGTTCCCTTTTTACATTTGTCTTAAAATAGTAATAAGCAATAAGTTCATTTTTAGAACAGTCAATTTTATGGGATACCAGGAGACAGTGAGTATACGGGAAGGAATGAAAAGTTTTTCACTTATGATGGAGTGGGTGTGGATGTTCGGTTAACATTATCAAGACAGTTATATAATTCATCGGGATAAAACATATCCAGAGTTTATTAAGTTCTGAATAAAATGATCACAGTGGTTTTGATTCAATATTCTCGCTACTTCCATGTTTCTTTTGTAAAACATTTAAATGTACGCTGCTTATTCATAAACTCTGTTTTCTAGTACTATATGACTGATTTTTCTTTCACTCAGCTCTGAACGTTGAGTTTAGAAATGTCTGTTTCTTAATCTTCCTATCCTAATTATTCTGATCATAATATTCATCTCTGTACTGTTAATGACTTACAAATCACATTGATTAGATAAATTATATATAATGGGGAGACCTTTGGGTGATATAATCAAACGACTGTTCGCTTATATATACGCGCCTAATTTTTCAGAACTATACTATGGACTCAGGTCTGTATTGTTAAGAGGATAATGTAACGAGTGAATAATGTCTTAGTTTATCCGTTATAAATAGGGATAAGTAGACATATTCATGTTTTTCTCTAATTCAGTGTAACGTTTCGTGACATTAATTTTTATTTCCTGTGTCATTTTGACGTGATTTTAATTTATAACGTAGCATTTTATTCGGTACAACATTAGCTTATTTTCAGGGTGACATTTCACATCGGTTTTCTATTCAGTGTTACATTTTATTCAGTACGACATTGAGTTTATATTTTCCAGTGTAACATTATTTTAGGTCAATATATTCCATATCAGTTAAGTGTAAATTTGGTCCAATATGGCAGGTGTGAACTCTCTCCCAGTTTGGCAATTATATTCTTTACGTTATTTTTGTTTGAATTTCGTTTGTGTTTTAAAGTAAACCTGTATATCTTTTCATTTATATGGTGCCTATTAACTAATCATCAAGTGTGTAAAATCAGTTTGTTATTGAGTGTATTCGGTCTAACTTCGTCTGCTTTTGCCTCTTTCACTTGTTATGGGATTCCCTGTGGTTCCCGTTCCGAAGTACAAGCAATAGGATCGCAGATACTATAATCCGTTATCGATATTAACACTAAGAAATAATGTTATTGATCCCATCATTACTTTAGCCTTTTTCATGTGATATGTTCTCAACATCCGCCAAAGCAAGTGGTGTGACTCCGAAGTGTTGAATAGCTCCTCTCATTTCATTCATTCAAACCTTTGGATGATATAATCAAACGACTGTTCGCTTATACATACATATACTTTCGTCACTCAAAAATAAGCTACGTTGTGGTATAGAATACAAAATCATAGTTTTGGATTATATCAACTTTGGGTTTAGTACTGTTGAGATCTTTACGCTTGTTTTTATTTACTTTTAACACAATGATACTTTTACTTCTGACTTTCACAACATGAAAAAATGTAACTTGATTGAATCGAAGTCAGATATTAATCTGCCTTCATTTAAGTTATTGTTCATGACTTTCCCTATTCCCATTAAAATATATTGTATGTGGTGTTTTTCTGTTCAAGTTGAATATTAGTTTTGATCGCTGCGTTAATCTTCATTTATTATGGACATAATAAATTTGAGCTATAAACATACGTAAATGAATATGCATTCACTGTGTAGATTAGAGTTCTACGTCTATCTTTTCTGTAATGAAATTTCATGTTAATCAGTGTTAATGCATGATTTACTTTTTTCTCCAGATTCCATGCAACGCTATATCCTTGCCCAGATTCACAAGCTGATCGACGTAATATGGCCATTGAAGTGATGGGTCAGATCCAAGATTTAGAAACAGTGCTAACGCAAACTAGGCAGCATCGTCAACGTATTTTAGAAACGGCCGCTAAAAATTTACGTACCTGGTTTATAAGGGTTAGGAAAATCAAAGCTATCTATCATACTTTAAATTTGTTCAACCTTGATGTAACTACGAAATGTATGGTTGGGGAATGCTGGTGTGCAGTGAATGATGTGGACAAAATTAATTTAGCTCTACGTCGTGGTATGGAACGCAGCAATAGTACTCTACAGCCGATTTTAAATGGAATAGTAACTACGGAAAATCCTCCGACATACCATCGAACAAATAAATTCACCTATGCTTTTCAAAGCATCATTGATGCTTACGGAGTCGCACGTTATCGAGAAGTCAATCCAGCTCTGTTCACAGTTATCACATTCCCATTCCTGTTTGCTGTAATGTTTGGAGATGCTGGTCATGGATTGCTTATGTTTCTTTTCGCTTTGTGGATGGTTGTATGTGAGCGAAAATTAAGCGTAAGTTTGGTTCAGAATTAAATCTTTTTAAAATCTAATACTATTAGTTATATATATATATATATATATATATATATATATATAATTTACTCAAGTTTGGACACAACTCATTTTGTAAACTTTGTTTCTTGCTAACTAACTTGCAAACTAATTTTCATATATCTTTTAAATAGCGTATAACTAAACTTATGCTAAATTCATTAACCTTAAATAAATCGATAAACGCATCACTTTTTAGTTGATAACATTATGTTACATAATTAAAAATTCATTTGTTTGTATGTCGAAGTCATTTCCTGTGCATTTTATTAATAATGCAAGCACACTTTTCTATTTACCTGAATGATTTCTCTATGTGTCATACACCCTGCGGATTGGAATATGACTTTAGACCTTATATCAAACTTCATCATATGCTTTAACTGCGTACACTTTACATTAATATTATGAAATAAATATCCTTAGTTTTAGATGCTTTACTAATCAAGACCTGTATATGATCAGATTATTGTATTGATAGAAATTATGTACATGGAAAACTACTAGAACAATACCAATTAATCCGAATGACACAAAAGGATGTTTCCAGATTCACTATTTGTTACAACTTTTTCAGTCATTCCGATGCGAAATAGGATTATGGTACAACACAACTATTCAAGTGTCGAAAGGTATAAAAAGCACTAAACAATGAGTGATAATAAAATGTTAAGGAAATTAATATCAAAACTCAATGGTTCCGGAATGTATCACCTAGAGTCCTCATTAATTTTTATTGTTCAAAAGAATCTATTCAGAATACCCTTGATCCTGTTACATACTTCGAAATCAGTCAGTGACTTTTCGAATTGCGGGATTCCCTAGTCTTACAATCCACGCATTGTTTCCAGCATAATATATTAACAGACATTGCAAATCATGGTCGGTGACAATTCGGTATATGTAATTCGTGAGGTGAATAGGGACTAATGACGGAATCCTTTTCATACCTCTTTAATCAGCACTTACATCCATAGACTAAGTTTTAGTTAACTCTTCATGTAAATCGATAACCATGTACAAACTTGATTTCATACCAGGTTTGTTATTTGAGGATAGATAATATTCAAACTTATGATCAGATGGTTAAAAGCAAATCTATGAACCACTTAATTATATCAATTTTCAGCTCGCTTGCGATTAGTCTTGTCATTTCAATGTTGTAAAACTTAAACTTCAACGTGTCCACTACACGATAATGCATTTTAGGTTTTTTTTATATTATAGTAGATTCACTGTTCTGTGTGTACTGTAGGAAAATTTCATACAAATATGTACTGGCCGTAATCACAGCACACTATAGAAATCAGGCATTCCATAATGAGTTAATATGTAGAAAAGAAATGTAAAACAAACTGTGAATGAAAGATGGTGTTGTGGCGTTACTCATTGCTGTTACCTTTTTTTACTTTTAATATGTTTTTAGGCTAATAAGTCCGGAGGTGAGATTTGGAATATATTTTTCAATGGTCGTTATATTATACTTCTTATGGGTTTGTTTTCAATTTATACTGGATTGATATACAACGACATATTCTCTCTATCTGCCAACATTTTCGGGTCCTCATGGTATCCAACTTATGATAATAGTGCTTTATCAAAGGAAGTTAGACTCCAGTTAGAACCTCGAACAAGCGTTAATGTGTCGAACCGAATGTATGCTGGATATCCTTATCCTTTTGGTTTAGATCCTGTATGGCAGTTATCTGGTAATAAAATCATGTTGACAAATTCGATCAAGATGAAGATGTCTGTCGTACTGGGAGTATTACACATGCTATTGGGCCTTAGTTTAGGTGCTTTCAATTACAGGTAAATTCTTTTTATAATTTTGTTTTCCATGTTTCCTATAGTATATGTCTTAAGAGATGATCTTTGTATCATCTGTTATTCCTAGTAGCTCTTTCCTTTTTATCGTTACATCATTTTCATTAGAAGTTTGTTCTATTGAATATTAAACAAGTGTGATGATCGCATCCTACTTTTATTTCGCTTCAGTTCTCATCTCATGTGGCTATTTTCGAGCATTGAGATATCAAAGTTGCTGCTTTCATCACTCAACGTTCGCGTTAATAGTTTATATATATATATATATATATATATATATATATATATATATATATATATATATATATATGAGCCCAGCTAGTTTTCTGGTTTAATTTGATCCCAGGTGTTATAGTCAGGTTTTCTGCGTGCCATAGAATGATGACGACTATAGTGACAGTTATCAGCATAGTTATTAGGGATAATTTCTCAGTAGGTTACCTTGTGAACACTGGCTAGAAATAATAAGACTAACTTTGTAGTCGCGAGAATCAAGGAGTGGAATAAAAGATTACTCAAGTGGGACTAGCTTCTGCTTTGTATACAGACAATTTGGAAATAGAATAAATTGGATTCATGTGTACGACACTAAACATGTGTTTTGTACATCTTTTATCTAAATCTGAAATAACTGATAGAATGTGATAGGAATTTATTGGAAAAGTTCCAACTAATGATCATGTAACTTGTGTATCAGGTCTATGTTTATATAAGTAATTTCAGATAATTTTTTGATTAATGATACTACATGTTTACCCAAACAACTCGTTACTTAGGAATAAGAGTTAAACAATCGAATATAAATATTCATTGTTATTTGTAAAATAATCAATATGCAATTCATAAAACGGGTATGTGCACATCATTGTACTTTGTAAATTAACATTTATTTCGATCAAATCTTGTGTCAAGTTGTATCTTAATTGGTATTTGTCAAATCATGTTTATTTGGGTTATTCGGTATTCATTCTTTTTAAAGGTATTTATTCTGTTTAATTTAAGTAATTAGCTGGTTTCACTTTGCCACCTTTCACTTTCCTATTCATTTCGAGTGCTCAGAATTCATCTAATGCAGACGATGTGAAGAATATGTTTTCTTTCAAACCTAACTCAGCGAAAGTTTAGTTGCTTCTGATTTTCGAACTTTTCAGACCTTTCCCGGAGACAAATTTTATCTGTTAATAAAGAAATTGTTTTCCTTTTTCATTATTTTACTTTGTTATTGGTTTTTACATATATTGGATATCCACTTCAATGGTTTTTGTATTCTCTTTCTATGGTGTTTTTCGTTATTGTACTTTCCTTAATTTATTTTTATTCTCTTAGAAATAATAAAGATAACTTATCGATTTGGTGCTTACTGCTTCCTCAAATCCTTTTCCTGTCATGCATCTTCCTCTATTTGGTGATATTAATCTTTTTCAAATGGGTTGCGTATACGGCGGAAACGGCATCCTCTGCACCAAGTCTTCTTATTGGTAAGTTCTCAAATTTTTTTCGGATAAAGTGCTCTACTATTATGTGGAAAGTTAATCATAATATCTGGAAAATATCACCACAAACAAAATAAGCATCGAGTTTTTCTTCATCCTAACTGATGCAATGATTATTGGTTGTTTGTTGCCGTCGTTTTTGTTACTATGTATAGTTAGCCTTTTTATGTTTTTGCTTGTGTAAGAAATCTTTTATCCTGTAGTTTAATCGATGGGTTAATGGTCTAATCTTCTGCTATTCATTGAAATCACGAACCGATCAATGTTCGGCCACCATGGATATTCGCTTGCTTATCATTCAAGATTTGATTTCTTCAGGTGGATCGTCTTACCGAATGCACTTTGATAACAAGAAATTCGATAGTCTTGTTGTTTCTCTACGGGTATTACATAGTGCTTTATTTTGATCTTTGTTCGGCATTTAGTCTGTTTAGTTACATTCGTTTAGATATGATACTTACAATAATACATGATTGATTTAAAAACCGGTTTATTAGCATTTAGAGAAAATATGTGTGCCATCATGGAGTCTAATTGGTACTTTTTTTTACGACTCTTATTGATTATACTGCGTACGGATAGTTTTACGTTCTGCATTAGCTTTTGACTCGTCATTCTTCATTTGGAATATCCGATCCTATTTTTAAAAAAAATATTTCTATATCTTTTAAATTGTATTTTCTCAGGATTGATCAATATGATCCGTTTCAGTTATTCGGATGAAATTCCTCCTTTGTATTCTGGACAGGTTAGATTTCCGTGTTTTGTGATCTTGGGTTTAATTATTGAAAATATCGCTAACACTTTTAGTGGATCGTAACAACCAGTCGATAATGACTGATAATTCTGTTAGTTAACAATTTCATACCTAGTATTCAGTACCCGGTACATCATTATAGTTTACATCCCAGATATTCTCACATTTCATAAAAAGTACGTTTATGGAATTTATGTTCATACGTAATTTAAATTACCATTCACTAGTTTCACTACTGTGTTTGAAAACCTAGATGATGAGTTCCAAACAGCGCGAAGTTCTTACTTCGCTATTTGAGATACTATTATGAATGCCAGTTACTTTTAACTTGAACATCAGTTTACGCTCAATAACTAACTAGGGCGTTGAGTTGGATACCGAGAATTCCAGATTTAGAACAATGCCAATTTATAAACAGAGATAAATAGTAGTTGGTGGTGAGACTTAGGATTCGGGTTTCGTCCCTGCGTGGGACTCGTCAGCTGAGTGTACCATCGTTTCAGTGTTGATGTTCACTCCCAGTGCTTGAACTCAGTCCCTTTCGCTTCAATTACTCATGTGTTTCACAATTAGTTACTGAGCCACTGGCTTATATAACATGAAAGAATTATAATTCATTTTTAAGGTTTCGAATCCTCCCATTTTCGCTTGAAAATGCTTTTAACTGACTGCAGTATAAAGGTAATCCGCTCGGCGTCCGTTTATGCCAAAAAAATACAGATCAATTGCAGTCTCTAACATCATCGACAGGGAGATTTAAACCCTTATAACCGAATGGTTATTTAGATGCTTGTTTCATCAAATCGTTTCATAAAAACATTCTTTCGCTGAGATTTTACAAATATATTCTTCCTCTTTAATTACTTATTACATTTTATAATGAATCATGAAAAATAATATGGTCAAGACAATTACTTAAATATATATCTTTTTAGTAATGTATAATATTGTCTACCATAAACTCTCTATTAGTCACTGTACAGTTGAGATGTTATCAAAAATTGTATAATAAACCGTCTACATGAGTAAGACATAAAACGACAGGTTTGGCATTTCATTCATAAAGTATTTTTGTGTGTTAAGAACCGTGAAATTCGTCCTTGATTTAATGGATATTAAAGCTGCCAAAGTTCCAAATAGAAAAAATGAAGAGCAAATTAATTAATAAAATTTTTGTGACTCATTTAATAGACCATTAATGTTGGATAAGTGTTGAATAAACTGTACAAACATGTAAAAATAAAATAATCAGTTAAATCAGATAACTTTAGATTGTGGAAATGCATGCATATGAAGAATGTCGGGTTATTTTATAATAAAGTGTTGTTCTGTCATTTACCCACGTTTGACCTATTTGCAATGTTTAACTACTGATATGACTTTTGTTATCGTATTTTATTTTATTATTCTTACTACTATCAGTACACCTGTCTTCCTACTACTATAAACTTGTACTTTTACCTATTATGTGTGGTGACTTATTCTATTTCATTGTGTGATTATTGACCTAAATTACCTTGATCGGTTTAATATTTTCGTATAAATATTCATGTATATTAGATTAAAGTCTGATGATCTAATTGAAGACAATTGTTCGCTTACATGTGTTCTAATCTTAGATTGTTTAAATGTTGATCATATAAACATGATTTTGTTCCTTTTTTCTATCACTGTACGTTTTACTCTTAATTTTAGAAAGCTGTTCAAAGTATATTGATGGTTATTGCAGTTATATGTGTTCCTTGGATGTTGTTGTCTAAACCCTTAATTTTGTATATGCGTCATCGTGCCATCATGAAGGTAATTAAGTTTATCTGTTTTGTGTTAATCGTATTATCCACCTATCTATGTATAGTGGGAATCTTGATTGACTTATTTTCAAATTATAAGGATACGATTTTGTCTGCAAACATGTGTTTTTTTATTGTTATACTTTGTTTTTTCATCACAATCTTATGAATTCGGTTTTACTTTCATATATCAAGTAGCGTGCGTGTATGTGACCCATAAATAAATAGTAATCCACCGATCTAGACCTTTCACATTAATTCATATCAGTATTCAACAAATTGACTACGTTTAATGTAGTGCTTAGTTGCAAATTGATCAGTATTGTTTATTTATTATTCAGATTTTCAAAGTTGTGCGTTTGAGCGTGTTCACTGTATTTGTAGTTACTTTTTAAAACATATTCAAAATGTTTATGAAAAGAAAGTAATTATTACTTGAGAATTTCCAAGGAAAATACTTATTCAGTGGTTGTATATCATTAGGTAGGTACTAGTTTAATGATATTTTGCAGAGTATAGTATATTGTTCAATTTTTGTTAAGTTAAATTGGGCCTACTGAAAAATTTATTATACCAAGTATTATCCATTAGCTTAATTATCAATTCTACGCTGTTTGAAATTTACTTTCATTGTATCTAATATGCATACGTTGTTTTTACCTTTGCTCTTTTTATTTTGTAAAACACTTAAACTTATTGTGTGAAAATAGAATAGACATTATGTGGATCCTGATGCAAGTGTGCATGTGGTCATTGGTGGTGTAACAAATCCAAATATGGATGATAGTTTCATTGGTGATAATAATGGTATTATGTACAGTGACATGTCTCCACTACATAGATCGTCATCTGAAAAACGTTCTAAGGTTTCATTAATTAGTCAAACAGATTCACCAAGTAGTCATGAAGTTCATAAGGTGAGAATTTTTTTAAAAAAAATACTTTTCTTCCTATTTCTTTACTAACTCTTTCATGTTTTTGCCATTTATTTAAAAAATTATTCAACGAAACAAATAAAAATTATCCGTTTATGAGGCTCGTGGCCCTGCCATTCACCCTGATGTTTCAACTAAATCATCCGAAAAAATAGCATTAGACGGTAATGGTCTTGGAGATGGAAGTGGTATAGGTTCGATGGATATGCCTGTGGAGTCTGTAAGTATCTTAACTGCGGTTCACTAACCGATAATAAGTGTTGTGTGTTCACGTTGTTGTCACTTTTGAATATATCCTCATTGTCGTGCATACAATTTTCACTTGTATCTGATAGCCTGTATAACCTGTTAGTAATCTGATAAGTGGTTACCTTATTAGGAAACGAATACTTAACTTCTGTGTTTAAGTTTTTATTTGATCGATTCACGATTAAAATTTGTATGCCACCCTTTTTATATAATAAGAGCATGAAGTAAGCCACAGGCTAGTATATAACTAAGCTGGCGAAGGGTTTTTCACGTAGTTGTTATTGTGTGTATCATTAACTTGAAATAACACCCTCCATTTTTGTTGTGTAACTATTGTATCTGTTGTCCTAAAATGTTATGTTTTTTATTTTAAATGAATGTATAACTATATGGGTATGTTGCATTTATTTCCATGTATTTCAGTTTGATTTCGGAGATATAATGGTTCATCAAAGCATTCACACGATTGAGTTTTGCTTAGGTTGCATTTCCAACACAGCTTCTTACCTTCGACTATGGGCTTTGAGTTTAGCACATGCGCGTAAGTGGTACATTTAAAATTTCCATTGTTATACATAGTCTTGTCTTTTTAGAACACTAACACTTTACTTTTTAAAGCTTATCTGAATGTTACCTCTTACCTTCGTTGCCTACCACTGCTCATGGTTATTGTGTATACTCTTTGTCATCCTACATCCAAATTACCTTTACTCTCTCGTATTTGGAACCTGATAGAATAATAGGTTACCAAGGATTACTCGTAACAGTATATCCACCAAGATCCACTGTTTTTTTTAACTTTCTGGTGTAAGCCATTGGTAGATATCACTACTGTTTTCACAGCTATTTGGTTATCGTGTAAACCTACATTTAGGTTAACGTAATTTTACTTCCATAGTTCCTTCTGGAATGTACTCTTGGCTTTTTCATTATAATAATAGACCTTAAGGGATCTCCCTGATGTGGATTTTTCGCATCATACAAGACACAGGGAAACATGTTCTCACTAGATCGTGATCATAGTCTAAATATTTGCTCCAGAGCGAACAAAAGTCTTCTATCAAGCTGGTAGCCTATCTTTATGTGAATTTGGAGGGCGCTATGTCATAAGGTGTTTCTCTTTATGCTTAAGGTTGGTGCTTGTTAGGAATAAATAGTTTTCTCAGCAAACTTGCAGCCGACGATTGCCATTATATGTTCCCTGTTCGAAGACGCTGAGAGACTCACCTTATTATTTTTATAGGATGATTTACACTGGCTACTTCGGCATTACAATCAACCTCTACAATTATTTTTTGTATGCTTGGTTCCTTGAAGTTGATCAATATACTTGTCAAATTCATCCTTTTCTTCGTTCAAATTTCAGTCAGCGGAGCGTAGGCGAAAATTAAAAATCGCAAATAGTTTGTATCATTATCCTTACGAACCCCTGGTGTTTGATTTGATTTGATCGCACACATATGACTCGACTGAAAGCCAGTCCAGGGTTACCTGTCCTACTCTAAGACTTGACTTCATACTTGTGCGTGTTGTTCGAACATTGAAAGCTCCAATACGTAGTTTACAGATCATTTGCAGTAAACTACAAATAACATTTTATGAGCATTGTTGGTTCATTGAGATAAAGGCGACCTTTTAGGAGAATTTTCGGATATGAAAGATAGAATAAATACTAAGTAACGGAGATATTGATCGGGAATAGGATTACCTAGAGTGCTGTTGGTGTGTTGGCAGTTATAACTACTCGGTTGCTCACATCGTGAAAGGATACTTACGGTATCCGAAAAAGAGACTTGTTGATTTAGTTATGTGACTGTGTGTCCAAAAGACAACTGTTTATTGCTGGGGACACGGCCTTTTGTTTAGCTACTTATGATTTTAATTCCATTCTTTTCAGACCTTATTGTTTGCTATGAAAATCTGTGAAAGAAGATGTATTAATTTATGATCATGCCTTTTCCAAACCATTTCGCTGTGGGAAGACAGGATTACATGAGATATTAGTTGTTTAAGAGCAACTATTTGCTGTCGTCACATTCCAGCATAATCGGCAGCTTATTTTTACCCACAGACCTTAAATTTTCGGCTGTTTGTTTCCGGTATGGTAACGGTTACTTAGTGTTGTATTGATCCCGTACCCTGTCCCGATACTTTCAGGGCTGTGGTAGAACATACATCAAAAATAGGGTTTCTATTTTATTACCTAATGAATAAGTAACAAAAGTACCTTTATTCTTAAATTTTTAAAGTTACTATATCCAAAGCTTGCTCAGTCATCTGATTTTCTTGTCGTCATTGCTAACCCCGATGGGTTACACAATTCTTTCGGTATATCCGTTGTTTTGTTATAATTTGTGCACATGGTTCCATAATGATACCTTTAATTTCAACCTGATTTTATTTGGTAATGGTCTGTTCATCATACATTACTGCCAATTTGCACTCTTTTAAACAAGGAGTTAATTGTGTCCATCACCAGTCCTTGTTTGATTGTATGAAATGTAGCCGTTATTACGTTTTTCTGAAATCAGATATTTTGCCATTATATTTGTATCTATCTTCCTTTGTCTGTTTGGTATAAGTTATTATTGCATTTTGAAAAAGTTCATTTTCAACTCCTCTTGCTCAGAATTATCGGAAGTCCTTTGGAGTATGGTTATGAGAATGGGTTTACGTATATCTGGTCTATATGGCGGTGTTGTGTTAGCATTTATTTTCGCATTCTGGGCTGTGCTAACCGTTAGTATTCTTTTGTGCATGGAAGGATTATCTGCTTTTCTCCATACACTTCGTCTCCACTGGTAAGTTCATTACTTTGTTTAGAGCTCTTGTTTATTATTTTTTCGTATAAACAGGTTTGTAATTATGACTGATATAAGTCCTCCAAATGTTGGTGATATTGAAAAGTTTATAGTTAGTCTAATACGATGTAGAGCGCCATTCTCTGGTCTATCAACTGTAGAGATCTTAAGGGAAGATGGTCTAAGTGTAATCACTAAGCCGACTAAGATCATATGTATTGTTTGGGGGTTGAACCTAATCCTATCTGACTAGTTTCACTCTCCTATTGTCCCAGTTTGAAGAAAGGACGAAAATCCACGTGTGATTAAAGAAAGAATCGGTTTGGCAGATATAATATCTGAAATATTATCATCTGTCATCATCTGACGTTTGAATAGAGCTCGTTAAGAATAAACTTAAAGAAATCAGACTGGTTTCGGACCTGGACATAGATTTATTGACTGAATATTCATTCCTCGTCAGATTTCAGAACTTAAGCGTACTTACTGATATTCAACTATAATCGTATCGATTTACCCTTCAATACAGCCTTTAACTATGTTGATCGAAAGGTCCTGTGGCATTGTCTGTCATTGAATGACGTTTCAAAGAGTATACTTTAGTCGTATAAAGGTTCTCCACTCAAACAACATTAGTCAAATCAGCTGTTTGATTGAATTTAACGACACTGGAAGCTTGCTTGTGATTCCCTTCTTCCTCTTTAAATACAGAATTTTTCTTCACGCTTAATTTGCGTCAACTCTTGAACTAGTGATCATAGGTAAAGTAGTTGAGTAAGTGGATCACTTCACTTCTTTTAGAGGTCTCATCAGCTTTGGTGTATTGATATCAAATGAAATCTCTGCACGGATTCCCGATTACTGCTTATACTCTTATTACCTCTACCACTACGGGATTTGAATCGACAAGTGCATCTCTGTGCTAATGTGGTGTGGCAACTCGAACTGATGTACGTACGTACGAAGTTCTACGTTGTTACTGACTGACTGACGGATTCGGTAAGCTCGATTGACATTTGGTAGCATATCGGATAAGTGAAATATCCACCTTCCGGTCAAAGGACAATTATATTGGGCAGCAGTCTTCTCTGTGTTATTTCACTGATGTGAAACATTGCTTTTAAAGTTAAAGACTTACGCAGGCTGCAGTTGCTTCTAAAGCATTGCTCACATTTCTTCGAATAACCAAGTAAACGATGTTGAGGTTAGTCATGGTATACTTGGGAAAGACGGCAGATTCGTTAATGTGGTAGTGAATCTTTGTGTTTTGTATGTGCTACATATTTCCAACTACTTCTTGCCTGAACCAATGGTGTTTTCTGGTGTAGGTTGTAAGGAATCTAGGGTTGGCAAAAACAAAGACGTCAGTAGCTCATGAAGCTCGTTAGCATTTATCCAGTATCATATTGATAAAACGAGTATACTGCGCACCAGTTCGTTTTATTCTACTTTACAACTGCAAAACGTGGCTATTAAGAGTGGAAGATGCTCGTAAGTTGCTAGTATTTGGTCACAAATGTCTTAGAAATGTAGCTTGCATCTGCGGCTCCTCCATTTTTATCATTGCTACTACATTATTTTGATTTTTTTTGTAATTGTTCTTGTTAGCCTTGTTTTGTCCTGTCATGTGGTATAACAGTTTGAGCCAACACAAATTTATCTCTGACTAATACATTGTTTAACACTGCTGACTATTCAACCTTATAGTCTGTACCAAGGTAATTGATGTGCCTAATATGTGGTTCTAGAATAAACGCAAATAATCTGCAGTCACTATAATTATAATTATGTTAACCTGTACCCACTGTATTTTTTCTATTCTTTAAAAAAACATGAAGTAATCATTTTAGGGTACTGTTCGTAAAAATAAACTTTCTAGAACTATTTATCTTTTAACAGGGTGGAATTTCAAAATAAATTCTACAGTGGTGATGGTTATCCTTTCGTTCCATTCTCCTTCGAACATTCCAGCAGTGTAGTCGACAATTAAAATTAGATTTTATTTGCTATGTTGTGTGTGTTCACTTAAATTTATCTTCATAAATGTTGTGATTATTCTTTTAAACTGCTATAATCATTCCATCTACTGGACAGTCCAGGTAATTTAATACTTATTACTTATTTATTTAACCCTTAAGTCATCATCTACTTAACCGATTTTATTATCCTTGATCATTATACATTGACTGGGTTCGTTTCATATTTATTAATTTTTATGTTGTTAGATCTACTAATAAAGCTGTTCAAATCCACTTTCACATTTTAAGATATTGCTTTATCACTGAGAGTTATTTTTTTGTTTTATTTGAACAAACTGTAGACCCAAAAAATGGTTAGCTCAATTCAGATTTAGGATGGTCCAGTCCATTACATACTAAATATACTCAATTTTAATTGTAACATTTTGATAATGAGCGTCCGGAAATTAACAGGTACCATTTCAAAGTCTCCACTACCTAGTCTTACTGATACGTCTTTGTTATACGTAGTGATTTTCGGGTACTGTAACCTTCAGACTTTCAGAAACATAATAGAAACCAAGACAAGATAGTATCTAACTGTTTAGAGTCAAACTATGAATAAATCAAGATCAAATATGTACCAAGAAATTATTAAGAAGGACGGTATTGATAATCGTTGTTTTCAGCTTGTTAGGTGCCTCTAATTTCTCTCGACAGAAAGAACGTTCTTTCCACAGGCAAGTACCCACAATCCATACGCAAATGGAAATTTTAATTGATCGAACAACAAACAAAAATGAAAAGCCCATAGTAGCCATTTTGAACTGCTTGATTGTTAGAACTCACCAGTACGCCTACAAAACCGAATAACCTAGCTCAATATCTCCCAAAATAATTTTTTTTACAACACCTGTCTTACCCGTATATACTAAAAACTTCTTGGTGTACCCAACTGATATGCTATCTATTCTTCCTTATCTTCGATAGATGACAATGTAGTCGCGGTTCAAGTTAAGTAGCTGACTCTCCTTAGGATTCTTAATGAGATGAAAGCATTCGCTTCACGTCTTTTCGTCACTCGTTTTTTTCAGGCTCCTTACAACTCATTGAAGCTCGTCGGTCTACTCCGGGTGACCGTGAGTTTGATCATAAACAAAGGCTGTTACGTAATAAAATCGGGCAAAGCTTGCGTAAGGACTGCGAAACCTGGTGGTCGGAGCGTGCTAATGAGTTGAAAGCAGCAGCTGCATCTGGTAACTACCGGAAGCTCTTCCAACTCATCCGAGTCACTGGCAGCAAGAAGTCTGGTGTGAGCGAAACAATATGCGAGGATGACGGGATGCTAGTCACTAGCACCCATCGACGTCTTGGACGATGGGCAGAATTTTTCGAAGGGAAGTTCGAATGGTCTGTTGCTCCAACAACATCGGTCAGACTGTCCTGCCCTCCATGGCCGGTGATGACTGATTCACCAAATGAGGTGGAAGTCTGCAGGGAACTCCAACTCTTGAAGCGCTACAGATCACCGGGCCCAGATGACTTACCTCCGGCTCTTTTTGAAGATGGTGGTGACATTCTGGTTAAGGAACTGACAACGTTGTTTACAAGAGTCGGGGAACTAGAGAGTGTACTAACGCGATGGAATGAGTCGATAGTTGTCCCTATCTTTAAAAAGGGTTCACGTCGTTCCTGTAACAACTATAGGGGGATAAGTCTACTTCCGATTGCGTCCAAGCTATTGGCTTCCGTCATACTTCGTAGGTTGTTCAAAACCCGAGAAAGATTGACTCGCGAGGAGCAGGGTGGGTTTCGTTCTGGTCGGGGATGTATTGATCACATCTTCACCCTCCGCCAAATGTTAGGACACCGTCATACTTATCACAGACCAACAATCGTGGTGTTTCTTGACATAAAGGCTGCCTTCGATTCGTTGGACAGCATTGTTCTCTGGGAGTGTCTATTGACGAAGGGTGTACCTGAGAAGTTCATTAACATCTTAAAGGCCCTATATACAAACACCTTTCTTCATTGTTCCACTCAAGCAGTGGGGTTAGACAGGGTTTCCCAATCTCACCATTCCTCTTCAAGTTCGCCATCAATGACATTCTGTAAACAGCTCTGATGGATGTAAGTAATGGCGGTGTGGATATGTTGCCTGGCAAAAGACTTCTCGACCTTGAGTATGCGGATGGTATTGTCTTACTGTGCGATAATGCCCAAGCCATGCAATCCGCACTTAATCAGTCAGCAATCAATGTCCGTAGGTACGGTATGTGCTTCGCACCTTCGAAGTGCAAAGTACTTCTACAAGACTGGCAGGATTCTAATCCTGTACTCACCCTGGATGGTGAGCAGATAGAAGTAGTCGAGAAGTTCGTGTATCTAGGTAGCTACATAAGTGCTGGCGTGAGTGATGAGGTTGATTCACGTATAGTGAAAGCCAGAGTGTCTTATGTCAATCTGGGCCACCTTTGGAGCCTTCGTGATGTCAGTTTGGCTGTAAAAGGTCGGATCTACAACGCGTCGGTGAGAGCAGTTCTGCTCTATGCTTGAGAAACCTGGCCTCTCCGGGTTGAGGATGTTAGACGACTCTCTGTGTTTGATCATCGTTGTCTCTGAAGGATTGCTGACATCCAGTGGCAACACTATGTTAGTAATGCAGAGGTTCGGCATCGTGTGTTCGGGCGCAGAGACGATAATCCAATTGGTGTCACCATCTTGAAACACTGACTTCGGTGGCTTGGACATGTTCTATGAATGTCGTCCCAGAGAATTCCACGTTGTGGATTGTTTGCCGACGCTGGGACTGGTTGGAAAAAACGGAGAGGTGGTCAGTGTGCGACATGGTGTCGGGGTATGAAAGAAAGCTGCAAGGGGCTGACTTCTGTTGGTCCTTCACGACTCCCTGGGTGGGGTCCGAGAGATGGTGAGACACAGTGGCTAGAGACGTTATCAGATATGGCTCATAGTAGAAGCCAATGGCGATCCTGCTGTAACCTTTTACTTTCTTCATAAAAAGTGGTTGTATCTTCCTTAACTGAAAGGATTCTGGTTTTACCTTATTATTATTATTATTATTATTATTATTATTATTATTATTATTATTATTATTATTATTATTACACTACCTTACACTAATCTGTGGTCGTTATTGTTCTTTTTTTCCTTATACGCACCATACCTTCTTCTTCTCTTCCCATTCTCATTGTTTTGTGTGGTGCATATATATTTGGTGCCCCCTTGTACCAATATTTGTGTTCAAATAAATAAATAGCCACACCATGTCTCTGTACGCAAGGTCTGCTACCTCCTGGCACATATCTTCATAATCGTACTTAATTGGACTACCCTTTCACAAAGCTAGGTGGGCTAAAATGTTAAGACAGTTTCAAACTCCTTCGAGACATCACCTCTGCAATTCCGCACTTATGATCTTGGCTCAAACTGCTACTGAAAGCCTCAAACGTATTATTTTTTTCGAAATGACTGTGCTTTTTGTTGGAAATGTCTCGAATATTCATCCGTATATACCCACAAAGTCTAAAAATTCTTATTTCACACCCAGTATATATAAAATTAGCGTGTGAATGTGCTAAGCTGAACTTCGTACAATATTCTTAGCGATATTTTTCATTGGCATTTGAATTCTTCTCAATGTGTACGCGAAGTTGACCTCATAATTCGTTTAACAGTATAGATTTTACTGATAGTTCGAATTACGCGTTCTGCATTCCGATGTCTTTTTAATTTCGTTGTGTATAGAAACATAGTGGTCTCTTACAAAATTTTTTTAAATAAAATATACACCTACCCTAATCTTCGAAGGATTCCCTATAACTTGTTGATTTCACGAGTATTGTAAGCCCCAAATGAAGGATTGATTCCATAGCGATCTACATAGACCATGATAATAATAATAATAATTTTTCTCCAATAACAGTTTGTTACATGAGGCATGCCAGTTTACAAGCAAGATCGTGCCGTGTTTGTGCGTGCATAAAATGGATGTAGAAATCCATACACTCTATGCGACCACATGTTTCCCTATCATCTTACGGATAACGTCACTTTCCTAACCTTTTTAATCTGTATATCGCATAAAATTAAGGTTGTGTCGAATTTTGATTTATTTAGAATTTTTTGTGCGCGATGAAATCTATATAGATGTTATATGTAGTATTTTACAACTTTAGTAAATGCACTTTATAATATATATGTAACTTCCAGATGCATAAAACCATGGTGACGTTCCTAACAGCAATTGAAATATATAAGAAAAATGAGGTTGATTTCTATGTTTGTTTGAGAGTGTCTGCGTCATGAACATGGACACAGTCATTCGAAAAACCCGTTCAGCGTTCTGATAACTGGTAGACATCGGTAAATTTAGTTCTTCCCTTGATCAAGTTATGCTTTGTTTAAACCTGTTAAAAACCTCTCATTCGACCTCAGTGTGGCTGAGTTTAGTTTAGTTGTTAACACCGCCGTAAAAAACTAACATAAATGCACCAGTCGCAGATATGGATGCTTGTTAGCAGTGCAGTCCGAATCGTCCTGTATGGGACTCGTCCGCTCGATATACTTGTAGATCACTGACTAGCTGATCTGTGCTGAATGATTGGGTCTTGACAGCTAACGTCGAAATCGCACCTCGTGATCAGCCATTAACGTGGATTATCCCGTCGTCGTGTCAAGGTGCTATGGATGCTTTGAAGATCATACAAAAAAGGACGTTATTACGGAAATATATCAGTAAGAATAAGTATAGAGAAGATAGTGGGAGCACCAACCCATGGGCCAGTCAATGACATACGATCAAGTTATGCGCGCTGATTATCCTAGACCTTGACGAGGATCGATGATCTGTTCGTTATTCAGTGACTCAACTGCCGGATGATTTGGCTATGGCTCGGTGACATTTCGCCGGCCCTTCCCAGTTTTGGCAAGTCACTCCGGTACTTCAACCCAATAACGTTCTCTTGAAAAGCCATATCATTAACCACTGAGCTACTAAGTTCAGGCAGCCCCTGGCCTTTGCAAGTGGTGTATTTCTGTTCTTTGATATTGGTTGTTGAAATATACTTTTTGATGTTTTGTACTGTCATTGATCAGTCCATCCTATCATACATATATTCTGTGTCAATATTCATCTCTACTTATAATACTTGCGGCTTAAGGCAAGTTCGAGGTAATTCGCATTGGAGACATGAATGCCAAATGCGACAAATCTAGTGCAGCCATAAGTATCAATAGTAAGACTCAAATAATCAATTTAAATGAAGAAATACATTGGATTCGATGGAAGTATTTATTTGAATTTGATTATTAAACGTTTTCACTCAGTAAATGGTTGTGCAGTGTCCCATTCATTCTTTTATTCCGCTTAAGCCATAGTGGCCACTTATTATTGTGAATTCTTTGTCGTGGCTGACAACCAATCTGCCTATTGGCCATCACCACGACCGTTCCCATTATAATGGTCATGCTTTACGAGTAAGACGTCTCTTTCTATTGTAGTAGAGAATCCTCTAGAATGTTCTTTTGGGCAAGCCGATCATAAGCACTAGCTCGCAATAC